GTTTTGACGTGACCACTTAAAAGGATGATGAGAATACCTCGGCAGATCACCACAGATTTCCTCATTTTGGAGCTTAGGTGATGTTCTGTTGAAGAAGTTTCTGCACCTTCCACGCAGTGTTACTCCTGGAAAATACTTTGACATCCAAAAGATTGTCCAACTTATAACGTGCGACAGCTTTTAAGCGAAAAATTTGCCTCAACTACCATAGAAAAGTGATTTATTTGTGATTTCCTTGAGTAACCCATTAAAACAAAATTTATCCACAAATAGCTGCATAGTTCGCGTTAGGTTCAATTCGGTATACGGATACAAAACGGTACTGAAGGTGAACTCTTGACTGTAACGTCTATCGGGTGACCCGGCAAGAGTATCCGTGAAATGAACAGTAGAGGAGCTTTCACAAAAATTATACGTAGTATTACCTGTAGAATGGATTAAACGAGGTTTATGAGCAGCAATACGCAGTTACAGGATAGGATGGTACAGTCCCATCTCTTCGGCCACTGTAAAGAGCTTTATTAGGGATTTCTTCGGCTAAGCTGGCTAGCAATTATTCTTTCTCACTGGAGTATGTATCACCAGAAAGCAGAAGGGTGGGTCTGCGCACTCTGCAGAATTCACAAGACTGACTTTTTCAATGGACACCTTTACACTTACAATGCGTTGGTGGGCTACTGCGCCGGTCCCTATTTAGCCATCTGATTGGTCACTAATTCATTAAAAATAAATGTACGCCAAGGATAAAAATCTTGCATACGATTGGTCTGTTGGCGCTGATTTTGTGACCCATTTGACCGTCCGCTGAGGCAGTAATATACTACTTAGATAGATGGCAGGATACCCACGACTGCTGTTAAGTCCAATCCAAAAATGCTTCGTATTGATGAAATAATCACTCCAAAAATATTGGGTGACACTTCCGCTTTCACTGGGAGAGCGAGAAAATGAGTTTTGTTCTGGCGTTGAAATTGTGGTATGGCAGGATGTTGGATCATGGTTGGCTACCTTCGCCTGACATAATTTCATGCCATTTGGAAACTTGTAAAATCGTTACTTCTGCGTTTAGACTAATGCTGTCGATCTGTAACACGCTGGGTTAGCCTGTTTCCTCGTATCTACTTAGAGTGGGCTCATGGCCAGATTTGACTCTCGGTCATGGTACTTGATACATAGTTGATCTACGAATACATGCGCCGGATCCCAGATTTGCATATTTTTGTTCATGGACCACACAGAAGCGGCGAAACAGGTGCGTAGGTCATCCAAAAGCACCATCTATTGTTTTTTGCACCAACTGTGCATCTGGAGCGCGCCCTAGTAGATGGACAGCAGATGCATGTTACAGATATTTAGTTAGGGGGCAGTTTCATGCTTGTTGTGCAGCTGTCATTTGTTAGATTAAGTATTGCTTCGAATGCGTAGTCTGTAAAAACGGGTTACATCGGTGGACCGATTTGTGCCACACTGAAGTGCAAGTTGCAAACGATAAGGATGCATTTATGCCGTGCTTAGCAAAGGACGTAGGTGTGAAGCTTCCACTGGTTGCCACACCGTAATGAAAAGTCTGTGAGCACTTGTTTTATACAGTCAGTGCCGTTTTTATGAATGTCTTGGTCTTGACAATTACATTAGGAAATTGCCATCTTGCGTAGTGATAATACAATTCAGGAAAGAACTGCCACGGCTTATGCCGTTTACTTGTCCGAGACGGCCAGCGTGTCCATACCAAAACGTCTTTAACCCCCAAAATCACTTCCTGCTCCTCACGGCATTTACTGATATGTCAAGAACTAACTGCATGCCTTCGTCGTTCTCCAGTATCTAACCGGGAAATGTTCAGGATTAAAACAATACTGCATCAATGTACCCGAGTCCTCTTACAGTGACTGACTTTATCCGTTATATGCCCACTCAACCTCTCATAAGACATAGAAATAGATATTTGGACCTAGAAACTTGTCACATCTGCGTGCAACAGAAGTGCTTCGAATGAACAAACAACTTTCTCCCAACTTCGCCCAGGCGAACAGCTGCGGTAATCCTGCAGATTTTTTCTAACCAGCCAACACCTCCATGATCTTTTGCCTTATTGCAGCAATTGTCCGCGACCCTTTTCCGCCTTCGGTGACCACTGATATGTTTTGGCTTCTTACACATAACAGTTTAAGAGAGAACAGGGTACCCGACCTTTCCACGGTGAGTTTTCACTCTTTTGGACTCAAGGATGTTCGAGGATGCGAATAATCCTGTCCTCATAAGGCTGTTGGACAGTTAGTTTACTGTTCTTGGCAGTAAATATCTTCGCTGACCTGACGAAAAACCGCAATTTCTTTGATCAGACGTCACTATACCGCGTATTTTTGGGCGGAGGGAGAGTCGGTTAAGTCAGGGTTTGTTGAGGACACCCTGGCTCCATTGTTGGCCCACTGGAGTGATTTAGTTCGAGGCGAGACTTACCGGTTGCTGCGTGAAAAGCTCATTTTTCTAAATAGTATTTCTGCCTTGGAATTCTGCTTTAGGATGTCTACCTGCGGATTACGATATGATGGTATGGTCAACAAAGCTTTAAAACCCGAAAATTGGCTTCGAATAAAACTGTCATGGTGCCAGTCAATCCACTCTTGCCAAATTTAAGATCGGGGAAAGACATCGATAAAAATTAAGGCAGTCAAAGCTGACGGTGAGAAGACTTCTGTAGTTGTTAACGGCCCTATGCAGTCTCTAGTGAACAGGGTAAATTGCTAATGTAAGCCAGATACAAAGTTACAAGGAGAAAAATCCAAGTAAATCTTGACTCACAGTTCAAAATAGGAGATTCCGTAATTCCGTATTCCGTTGAACCACCACATCAAGAACAGTTCTATCTTCCTGGTATTCCAGATCTCCGGTGATCGAAATATTAATCTACAGGTGTGAATACATTAGTCCAGTGTTTGTAGCTGAAATGTTTGTTCACGTTTAGTGTTAGCAGCAGTCAATTATAGCTGACGGTCACAACAACAGTCACTCAGCAAAAGTCTCAAAGTCACGTTGGAGCCAACCAAGCGGGCGGTAACGGTTGTCGGTTCAGTAAAACAAACTTTTGTACAGCGATGTGACTGATAATGATGGGGAAAAAGAGGGTGATACTGAGCATGAAAAAGAACAGTTTACAAGTGCTACATTTCTAGCTGTGAAGGCTCGCTAGGGTCTGAGGATGTAACGTGCATATGTGTACAACCAATCTGGGATTCCAACGAGGGCAATACAAATACGCAGAACAGATAGACTATTTACGGGGCAAAAATAAAGCACAGAGACTTCGGTTAAGGCTTATTCGGTCACATGACTGAACTGCTTCTCTTGATTTGCAAAAGCCAATTAGGAGTGGGTATGACAAAAGCTAAAAGTAACCCTAGACGAAACGAGTCTGTGGGGCCACGTCCTGTTGGCTGGCGTTGTCAATGAGCGCCTAACTCGTTTATCTAGTCCCTCAAGGAAGGACACTGCCTTATCATAGGAGGCATCACCAGGTCACAAACCTAAAGGGTGGATACTCTTAAATGGAAGCCAAATAACGTACAGCAAGTCCGTAAGTCTCTGCCAAGTTTACAAAAAATGTAGGTAGTTTCAAATGATGACTTACTTAACTTTCTTCAGCACGGACTTACAAAAGTAAAGTCATTTCCGCAAATCTCAATTCCTACACCGAATTGCATAAGAAGCTTGTAAGACTAGGGTACGCGGATATTCGCATGTGCTACATTTATCTCCGGGGGGGGGCATTCGATTCGATCAGCCTTCGTTTTTCTCTGTACAAATCGTCAGCTTCAGGTGTTGTAAGGGCGATTCCGTGAGCAGTTTTGTGGGAGGTTGAAATGTGGCGATGAGGCGAAAGGAGGGTGAACGTCATTCAAAAGCGATAACACGCGGAATCTTGCTGCCGTGTCAATCCCTGGATTCCATTTACTGACAATTAAAGCAATGGGACCGCTGAGATCTGGTAAGTGCTCACACAAGAATTCCCTTATAAATGAACAAAAATCATCAAAATTAAGATATATGGTGAAGTTGGATAGAAACCTGAGGAACTGTACGCATCACTGATCAGATATTCAACCATATGCACAAGGTATATCAGCTTTTCCAAAAGCACACAGAACCGTTTTCATCCCAGAGGATAGTCGTCGGTAGCATCCTGACGAGCGAGAACTACCATATTGTGCCCAATTTGCCCCGCTTTGAGTACTCCGTCTCTTCATAGGCTCCATTTCTAAAATGGAAATTTTTGTGGCCAGAGTAAGTTCGGAGGACGAAAACCAGAGGAAATGCAGATAACGGTAGTCAGAGAGATGCATATAAACAGCCCTTTTGGAAGGACTTCAGGGGTGGGGCGTTTGGTTCTCCCAAGGAATGGGAAATGTAGAGCATTTCAGTAGCCACAAACGGTTCGTTTTGGGCCTGGAGCCCTTATAACCTCCAAGAATAGTGAACTTATGGGAGGAGTTCTCAATAGAAGGCCCCAGGGCGCATGAACCACGCCTCAAAAAGTAGGAATA